AATGAAGAGTAAAAAAATCGAAATTGAGATTATTGAGATCATCATTAAATATCATTTTGCTTATACATATTTACTTTCCTAAACATTCCTTGTTGAAATGATACAATATGTTTCACTGGTAAACATATCACCGTTTAGCCATGAACAAATACAGTTATTCCATCGGGAAATCCAATATTCAATTGGAAATCACCTTATTGAATCTCGGCCCTTGTGCCTTTAATCAACGTCAACAAAATGACCAAGCACTTCTTCATATAGTTCCTCGGGTGGAATTATTAGACCCACTTTTCCAGAAATTGTGTAATTATTCACTATCAAACTCAAGATTGCTTTTTCTTGGAAGAACAAATTCGGGTTGATGTATTGTGAACGAGTTCTTTTACTGATTTTTGCTAAATTGTATTTCGGTAATTGTGTTTCTCTCTCGGTTTTTGATATTGTTATTTTGTTAATGTATCGAAAGTGCTGTAAATATCGCATTAATGTCGCCATCATTAGTGATGTAATCTATCAAACCGGGAACCTTGCCTCGCTTAGATGATACTAATACAGTACCCTCAGAAATAGTGTGACGTCAGGATAAGTGCATTGTTGTTGTAGAAAGTACTTGTGTGTTTGGTACGTCAGGATAAGTGCATTATTGTTTGTAGAACGTACTTGTGTGTTTGGTACGTCAGGATAAGTTTATTGTTGTTCATATAAAGTACGTGTGTGTTTGGTACGTCGGGATAAGTGCATTATTGTTCGTAGAAAGTACTTGTGTGTTTGGTACGTCAGGATAAGTGCATTATTGTTTGTAGAAAGTACTTGTGTGTTTGGTACGTTAGGATAAGTGCATTGTTGTTTGTAGGAAGTACTTGTGTGTTTTGTACGTCAAGATAAATGCATTGTTGTTTGTAGAAAGTACGTGTGTGTTTGGTACGTTAGGATAAGTGCATTATTGTTTTTAGAAAGTACTTGTGTGTTTGGTACGTCAGGATAAGTGCATTATTGTTTGTAGAAAAAACGTATTTGTTTGGTTCGTAAGTATAAGTGCATTTGTGTTAGTAGTTGGTACTTGTACGTCAGTTGTTGTCTTGACTTATCATCATTCTTTGACTCGATTGTGTAGAATTTAATAGTTCGAAGTTGATCCAGCTTCTATTTTCGTTAAAAGCCAATCTTTTAAAGTGTGTGCAATAACGACCGGGTCTGTTTTTATAACCATCCCGATGCGTCAGAAAATGTTCAGGCATTTTGATAAACAATAATAAATAGGCACCAATGAAGCGTAGCATATAAAGAGTTCTTAAGAATCTCAGAAACAGGTCTGGAGATTTTAGAGTGCGAGTGTTAGCTATTAGGCCTATATTGCTAGCATATGTTCTTTGTACTAGTGAGTCTTCCCATCAAAAACAGCTGGAAACAGTCGAACTAAAACCAAACCTGATCTAGTGGATCGTGGCAGGCGAATGCCAACGCAACTAGATGTTGTTGCCTGTAATTTGTTTAAACCCGAGAAGCCATCCCATGTAGAAAATGTCAACCATACCTTAATTGGTCATTTTTCGATGAACTATGAATGAAGCGTCACGTGTTCTGATATTTCCTGACAACTTACCGTGTTGCCTTCATTTTTACGAATTAGGTTTCTCATTTATTCCTCGTTTTTGCGTGGTTTTACACAATGTTATTAATTTACTAACTCAATGCTACTTATAACAGGTGAATCGTTATACACCTGAATACATTGTCATACGAAAAACGCTCATGACGGTCGTATTTTGAAATACTTTGAGTGACGAAAGCGAAAATAGCAGGGAATAAAGCAAACAAACCTTTTGAGAATAATCTAAAGTCCATAAAAGCTAAAGACTTATTGTTTAAGACAGGAATGAGATGAAATATAAGTGATTTTCAGGATCGTTTTCTCAAAGTGTTTCATGTTCAGGTGTATTTGAAGTCCATCCTCCCAATTGGAACATAAAGAAATAAATTATTGTCTTGATTCTGTCTGGTCTTTTTGATATTGATTGTTTATATCCCCTTTGTTTGCATATTAGCCGCGGGGGTTGAGGGGGAGACGCAATGCCAATCAAAAATCCCTGGCCTGAATCTAGGACTTTTTGCTGAAATTTAAAAATCTTAAAATTAAAAAACGCGAAGGTCAAAATGATGAGGCTTGTTCTTTATTTTAGGGGTTGATGGCATCTAGGGTGTTGGACCCGACACCCCTGTCACATCCTTGATCCGCGCCTTATTTACGTAGACCCCGACCCCATCATGCCGATTAAGGACAAACTGGGTCGTATTCCCATTATTTCTATAATATAACATCATTATGAACAACCATTGGACTCCAACAATAAATGATATGAAACGAATAATATGATTTAGGTGTCTTCATGTGTTATGACAATGAAATTGCTAAAAGTATCTATTGGACGATAAATCGCTCAGCTAATACACTTGCCAATGATGCTGCTGCAGATAACCGAACAATTGATGCGTTTCCCTCCAAAACAATCTCAGTGCTATTTCTGAGCCCGAAATAGCGAACAAACGGAGAGATATACGCAACATTAAATGGTTGCAATTGGGAGTGACTATGATGTAAGAAATGATGACAATAAGTTTGTTTTGTGGTCAGTTTTGAGAATGGAATGGGTAGAATGAACGTTGAAGGGGGCTATTTTATGAATGGTACATCAAGATCGATAGTGCATTGATATTGATATTCGGGACATTTCGAGGAAAATGTGGAGTCCATAATTATCTCAAAAACGACCTTGAATTATAAGAAACTATCAGTTTGTTCGTTACAGCCACCACATTTGTAAAGAAATATACAGTGCGCGTCCGAGTTCTGTTCACAAAAAAATGTTGTAAACGATGCAATTTAAAAGCCATATGAGCTGCGTTCAATACATGTACATGTTTGATTTGACTTTGAGTCTTTTTAAATAAGTAAGTGTTGATTGGAATCTTTCTACTTTGCTGACATTCTTGAAAAACAATATAGAATCAAATCATATCAACCGGAACGACACTATATGTATATCGAGCTGAACAATCTTGGTAGGCTATGGTAAAAGGGATCATAACAACATTTTGGACATTCACTTACAATATATTATTTAGAAGTCATTATCGTAATATATTCGATTAACCTTTTTAGGGTCCATCGATCTAAATAGCCTTGGAATCTAATTGATATCATTACAAAAACGACATCTTGGACATTGTCTCGGACGCATACAAAAACAATTATGGTAATTAAATTGTCTATCTTAGAGCCTGCTTTGTCGATATTAAATTGACCATACGCATCATTTGGAGACGAGTCAATATCAATTTGGGCGCATTTATCCCCATTAGGACTATTTAGTAGCGATCTGGTGTCATTAGTTTCTTGCGAACCCTTACTACTTTGGGAACGTGCGATATTATAATAACAAGATGTGAAAATATACGTCATATTCTACGGTGCTTGATCCAATTCAATCAGACAACACAATAAAACATTTTCTCGTATTGATATTGCAACACTATAACACTGTTCAATTGAAATATATCGAACTGTTTTGTAAAGGCCTGGCCTTACCTTACTTACTGAGACGCTTTACTAAATGGACAGTAAATCCTACGATTATTCTGGGATTCTTTCACTTTGGCTAGTATCGGTTGAAGACCTCGGAATCGATCCTTTACCAAATGGGAGTAGATTGCATACTTTACGAACTCTCGAGGGATACCGCACAATAAAACTATCTTTGGAATCAATATTTCACTGGTCTTCCGGAGAAACCACAGGGGACGAACCAACATCCACAAAATGTCATTCTCATCTAGTTGCATCATTGTGCCTGTTTCAGAAAATCTCTGTCTACAATGTCTCATTTTGATTTCGTGATAAAGATATGCGAGGTTTGCGCATCTCAAATCAAGGTATTCGTCCGCAAGTTGATAATGAGTCCGAGAAAAAATCAAACAAAACGTTTTCTAGCGTTATACCATTAACATTTCTATGTATTTGTTACTTCTCATGCAGGACGCATGATACACCACATTGTTGGTATTCAGTTGGGTCTCTCAAATTATATCAGTTTGTTAACATGATTTTCATAGATATAATCGTATTTGTAACTTGCTTATTCAAAAGAAGAGACTTAAAAAAAGAGGCGCGTGAGGATTGAACTGAATTGCGTTGTTTCATAGTTACAGTATATTCATTTGATTTTGACAGGGATTTTTGTTCTCATGGCATTCCAAGTTGTTTAAGCGCTTATTTTATAATTTTAATATATTATCTAATTTAGGGCGTTATGGACGAGTCCATTGTAGACTGAATTACGAATCAACATTATTCACAAATAAAGAATATGTGAAATGCACTGCCTTAGAAACGAACTCCTTTCCTTCAAACCAAAATATTGGTTGAAATTGACTTTCTGATAGATTAATAACGTTGCCCTTCCAGCTCATGTAATTTTCTAAAATTTGTAAGGGGCATGTATGCCAATTTTTATTCTCTCGATAAGTGGAAAACACTGATCCTATGTTATTTGGAAGAACTCTTGTTCGAAAGTTATGTTATTCTAGCTACGCTGCATTTTTAAATGTATTATTGAAATCCCAACAGTTTATTTTTTACACTTTTGAAGCCCTATAGTTTATGACCGCCATGCCTGAACATTACATTCCTTTCTAATTCAATCCTATTCTCTCTCTCTGTGGTGGTATCTTACATACGGGTATCTTATATACGGGTATCTTATATACGGGTATCTTACATACGGGTATCTTATATACGGGTATCTTATATACGGGTATCTTACATACGGGTATCTTACATACGGGTATCTTACATACGGGTATCTTACATACGGGTATCTTACATACGGGTATCTTATATACGGGTATCTTACATACGGGTATCTTACACACGGGACAGAATGTGTCAAGAGAAAGGATTAGTTCTAATTTTCTCTACATAATATTAAACTTTTGTTCTGTTTCAGGGCTGACATGTGGATATCGTGATGTGAATCTTGGCCTTACTGCACCAATTACTCGACCACACCGACATAGTTAAGGTCTCGATAGGGGGCGCAAGAAGACAACTTCCGCCATGTCTCCACGGGTCGGTTTCACAATGAGGCTGGTTGTTATAGTGATGGGGATAGTTCAAATTAGTGCATGGGACCCATGCCCCATAGGATGTCAGTGCAGCCAATATTATAAAAAAGTCGAGTGCAAATCCCCGGGAATGCGAAAAGTTCCGAACGACATACCCGACTACACAGAAAAGTTAGTTATTGCGGATGGGAACTTTTCATCACTGAGGAGAGAGAATTTTTCCCATTTCTTATTCCTAAGGAATCTGAAGGAATTAGAATTGAAAAATTGCAGCATTGATTTTATCGATCCCAACACGTTCGCTGATCTACCGTATCTTACATCGCTTAAATTACGTTATAATAATTTAGTGAATTTGAATTTTCTGGAGTACGTCAAAACCTCGGAATTAGCATTGGATTTTAATCCCCTTCATCAAATAGATTTTAGTGGATTCCCAAATATGAAACATGTTCTTACTTTACATATGAACGACGCTCAGTTAGTAAGTTTGAATAAAAGCGAGCTTACCACACTTGTGAACGTAGAAAAACTCTACCTGTCTAATAATAAGATCCAGATTGCAGACGGATCCATGTTTATGCATATGACTAAATTAAGGACGCTTTCCTTGCACAATAATAGCATTCAAATGTTACCTGATTCATTCTTGGGTGTCTTCGAACGACTTGGGGAAATCTTTTTAGACGTGAATCCTTTACACTGCAATTGTGAAATGACATGGTTTAAGGATTTCTATAAAGAATCCCAAACTTGGGCAAATGAGTTGGCGCCAAGTAATCAAAGGAGGTTAATTCAGGCCACATGTTTTACACCAATATATGGGCATCTGAATTCAATAAATAACGAAGTCATATTTAAATGTCAACGCCCGCATATGGTACTAACGACTGAGCCACAAACTACTGGCGCTGGTGAGGACTTCACGTTGACGTGCATAGCAGAAGGGGATCCCCAGCCGAGAATTATATGGACTGCTCCCGACAAGGAACAAAAGGTCATAGAACCCTCTTCTAATCGGACTCAGTTTCATAACGTAGGAATGTGGACTATACACGACATCCCCGAAGAAAAACGAGGCCACTTTACGTGTACTGCTGAAAATAAAGCAGGAAATGCGACGTCTAGATTGTTTATTGATATCGTTCATAAAGGCCCTGTGTATCACGGGGGAGATATAGCAGGAGCAATATTCGGTACCCTTATTATTACTATCATCATTTGTGCCATCTTGATCTTCCTGTTTATTAAATACGGGCGGATTAAGTTTACCCCCGGAAGGCCCGAGCGCGACCCGGAAATGGTCGACCACCACACCCCTGCATTCGGCGCTGTTACTCATAATGTTCATAAGGGTAATGATACCAGGAATAGAGTCAACAGGGACGATAACGAATATATTGACGATGAACGGACTCCTTTACGACCGAATGAGTTTGACTTAAGTCGTGAGAATACCGACGAAACGAGTCACATGCGCCCGCCAATAAATGCAGATGACACAAAAAGCGAAGATGATAATACACTACCTTTAAAAGTAAAACTAAGTGACGACGAAACAAGATCAAATAGTATAGATTCTCTTCCAGAAAAACCAAAGGATAACTTAGATAACGTAGCCGACATTGAACTGCCTCCAAAAAATAAAGAAAATAGTCCCACGCGTGATAGTGTCCGGGACAGTGGAACATATGAGACAGTTACCCCATCCTATACCCCTCCGCCGGCGATGAATTCCCCGGAGGAAGCTGATGCACTGGACGAAACGGACGATGATACAATAAACAATAGTATCCCGCCCAGTCCCCCAAGTAGCCAACCTATATCTCCTGTTGAAGAAAATGCCAACATCTTAAAACATCGGGAGAACCCAACATATGAGACACCAGTTAGCAATAAACACAAGGCATTGGCCACTAGTACCCCTAATCCACCGGAAATCGAACATTTATGATGTAAATAATCACTTTTTTACAAGGTGTACATATACTTTTAGCTTGTGTATATAAATGATAAAAGTAGCTTTAAGTAGGATGATTTATGGAATGTAGTAAATAAATAGGTCAGTAGACTGTACAGTGTACATAGGTAATAAGTGAAAATGAATAAGTTATACGTGTAAGATATAAATCCTTAGACACATCAAGAATATGTTCATTAAAAGACGTGTCAATGAATCTACATTCGTCGAAATACGTAAATTGCACTGTTCCCCTAAAGCCCAGAACTTTATTTTGATTTGTTGATAAATCGATGCATGTAATAATGAAACAAAATTTATCCAATATGATATAAAATATAAACCAATGCCGTAAAGTAATTATTCTTATCACTACATTATTGTTCTTGCTGCTCCCAATCATTTGTTTATCTGATCACCCCTTTGATTGGTTTTCAGCCATTACATATTTAGGACCAACTTGGACTAGGACTTTACTAAATCGGACTATATACTGTACATGTATTAAGCTGACAATATCTACGATGACATAGTTACGTATTTGGACGGAAGTAGATATTTTGATCCCGTCTCGTTATTAGTAATTATCATACGTCAGTTTTAACATGCTTCTAAAATTATCGTTTTACGTCATTCTGTCACGACTTCTTCACGTTAGCAATGAATATTTAGAGTGATAAAATGGAGATCAAATTTGATATTGATTGTACTACAACATTAACTGATTGATAATAAATCTAATACCTGTACGTAGGGAATTTGAAAATTGTGAAAACGTAGCTTAATGAGCCAAAACTAATAAATTATCATTAATGAATTAGATACTATACAGGGTGTGCCAAAACGTCCACATTTATATTTTTGTAATATCTTTGCTGATATGTTAGAAATATCCGTAAGTTATATATCATTAGAAAGACAGTTCGTTTTCCAACAAGATGATGTATGATTCACAAAATATGAATAGCTATTGGTGACTCCACGGTAATTTCTGTATCATGAGGTAGTAACAGTCAAAACCAAGATTTTGCTATATGTTTTGAGCTTATTGCATAATATCGCATTGCTTAATCAACACTTTTAGACTTTTACATATGACGAAAAGGTATTGGACTTGAGTGTTATTGTTTTTAAACCATTTTAAAGCCCTAAAATAATCATAGAACCTATTTTTATGCATTGTAGCTCATTATAAAGTTAGATACATTGATATTTGCTTCAAACACGTTTTGCAAGGAAATTGAAATTTTGCCATCACCCTTATTTCCTCTTCTGGTGTCTATCATTGCATTGTCTGCCATTTAGAATGTCAGTAAGTTATATAAGTACAACATCAGTTTTCATGATAATTTTAGCCTTTAGATTATTTACCACTATCAAAATAGTAAAACAACTCAATGATATTGTATTTGTAAATCTATTTGCATTCAACAATTTTGACCTTCTCTCATTAGAATTATATCCCTAAAGCTGACACAGGGGTTATATTTGTCTGGCCAGCTCTTAGCATTCTGTTTTCAGCAATTGGCGAATCATAATTTTGACCCCAGTGGTAATCCAAATGTTATTTTAAGACAAATACCCATTTGTGTGAAATGAATTATATATCATTTTGTTGGAAATTGAATTGTATTTGCAATGATATATGATTTAAACATTTGTCTGTTATATTAAAAACGTTGTAGCAAACCAAAAATGTGGACGTTTTTTGGCCCACCCCTGTACATACGCAAAATTATTGTATGTATTAGCGAGATATTGTGTATATGGGCGTGACCAATGATGCGTTGAAGCATGGTAAATAGTAGTCTTGCATCTGCTCCTTCTACCCCCCATATGCCTTCTATGTTACAGAACAAGTGAAATGTAAACATGTATAATGGTGGATCGAATATGCCTATGTCGGAACATACCCATCCTTCATCAACGTCTTCATTGCTTTTTCGATTCAAAGAAGTGAAATGCCCTTTGACCTACAAAAAAACCCTTCAATGGAACATACCGAAAACGTCCATTCTATTTCATATTCTGTAATGTGAACAGTGCTCTTTTCGTGTAGTGTTTTTCAGGATATCGAATAGGTTGCCTACGCACATTATCTCATCTTAAAAATCAGAGCAAATTGCGAGTTGAAAAGCAAATGTGTGATGACGGTATCAGAATGGATCTGTATTGCCGAATAGAAAGTCAAAATATATTCTATTCCAGTGAAAATTGTGCCAGTTTTAGAAAATGAGAATACTAATAACTGTACGTACTTTGCAGATTAACCCGATTTGCTATTATCTTACAACAAACATTTTGTGGATACACTCCCCTTTATACGTTTAGCAACTAGAAGTTTTTAAAGGATAGGATATCTCCTGCCAAAAATTATGTTCACATTCATATACATAAATAAGAGACGGAAAAGGGGGGCTTTGGGTTGCCAATGATATGGAAGAGAGTGTACAATAATGTGTTTAATATTCATGGTCAGTCTCTTACCAAGTAAATGTATTGCCCTGGGGGCTTATTGTCCTGGAAGTGTAACACATATATTAATTACGCTGTTATTTCCGCACATGAGACATGGACTTATAGGCCCTCTTATATTTGAACGAAAAAAAAACACGTCAACTTTTGTGCGGAGTAATCTTCGTACGCTGTCTATTGTTTAGGTGTCCGTCGTATGCTGAAGTATCTTTTTGGAAAGCTTTGGACGGCTTCGAGAAGCATGCGCAAAGTTGCACTTCGGTTTGATAATACGTTTCCAATCTCTTGAATTTACAATTCACCCAACCGCAAGGCTGCGCTTAGTGGATCCGTTCATATGTGAGGAGGCTTTTACCCTTTTCAATCATTTGATTTATTACAGTATCATCGACGCTCTTTAATTAAAAGATAATCCTTCTACCTTTGACCTGGCCCTATCCAATCAAAATAAGTCGATCAAAATTCATTTGCTCAAATCGAAATCAAGCCACGAGATTGTATGGTTGTCAATAGAAGCTGCATCAAAACTGGATTTACTATTAGCTTATGAGGATCAGGGTATAACAGAATATGCAAGATTCCATGATAAAAATAATCAATGCCATCAATGAGGATAAAGGGGATTTATAACTTTTGATTTTAAAAATTATTTTGAATTGGTCCGAGTAACTTATTAAGATAAAATACATTTTCAACAATTCTCAACAATCCACCAAGTACTAAAAACGGGAAAGGGAGGAGGGGGAGGCAATGCACGGTAATGGTGCAAAGGCGGCTTTTTACATTAGTGTATGCACTAAACGAAATGTTACGGGGATATTACATGGCTGTTGTTTTTGATAACTTAGGCATAGCTGTTGATTATAGGGAAAAATTGTTCTAAAATCCACATCAATCCACATGATCGAAAATGGAATTGCATTTTACAACATACATGCATGACACATAGTAAACAGTAGACATTAACTGTGGTTTGTTTGTACCATTGCCATTCATACATGTAGTCCTGGATGCCAGTGCCAGGAATCGAATTTTCATTCGGCTCATTTATGCCCCCCCCCCTCTCCTTACCATGCTCCCTTTCCGATATTAAAATGAGACTTGATGCAAGACAAACGATCCAATGCACCCAGCTTTGATCATTTTTGAATAATTCCGAAATGCAGATAACAAGGCTAGTACACTCCCCTCCATAAGTTTAGCAACTGAAGTTTTTCAAAGGATAGCATTTGTCTGTCAGTATTTGAATCTTAATGTTCTTCCTTAATTACAATAGTTCGGAATTTCATGACAAATTTTACGATTTTTTAATCGCCAAGATTAAACATGCTTTGAAAAGTGAACCAAGGGGGGGGTGGCTCCCAGTTGCCATACTTATGAAGGTGGGGTTAAGTTCTTAGCGAAAATATACAGGGTGACACAAAAATGCAACCCTAAAGCTGGAAAACAAGAGCTGTGTGAGAGAGTGTTCAATGCGTGAAACAGGTTTAGAAAAATACAGTTTCTGTCATTTTTGATGAATTCACTTGATTATTTGGAAAATATTGACAAAGACATATATATATATCTGAAGTTGCAATTCAGAGCGAATTACCGCGAGTGTACCCGTTAACGGAAACTCTGTAGCTCTCAATCCCAAGGTATAAATGCTGTATAAAGATAAAATTGCTTCACGCATTGAACTCAATCCACGAATACCCCATTATGTTTGAAGTCATTCCAAATTTTTTTTTCTCGTCACCCTGTACTTGTTTATGAATTCGAAAATATGATATAATATGACAAGACATTCATTTTCAAATGTGTATTGACATATGTAGAACTAGTGAATCAAGGCCAGAACAATCTACTTACTTAAATATAGACCATTCATTTGCGAAGTTATACTGAAATATAGGTCAAAAGGTCATCGGGATATATGACAAGGCCAGAACTTAATATTCGATATATACTTATATAGGACAAAAGGCCAGACATTCATTTACTTTATACTGAAACGTACAACTCTGGGCCAGAAACACCGAGTGTATTCAAAACAAACTGTATTTTTATTATTGACATATATTTACACACAATATATTTGAAATTCTTCAGATGTATCAGCCTCTGTTCTATGCAGGATATATCATTAGAAGCTTATGTAACACCTTATACTATAGCCCAGTACTAATGCAGTATAGCTAGAAGAGTACTATTGTGCTAGAGCCAAGTGCAATTATACTATTGCTTAGTATTATTATTCTAAATCCTAGTATGATTATACAGGATGGTCAAAAAATGGAAACACTTACGCCATTTTCCTCATATCTTTGTCATTTCAGAAAATAACTCCCTGATATTTTACACATTTGTACATCATTTAATTTCCTACCAGCTTGCTATATTTCACGACCATCAGATTGATATATACATTGTTAGAGCACTTTAAATAACATACCTCAGTGGCCACTATTGCGCTTTCGGTAAACCTGCACTTTGTCCAGAATGTTCCTACCTGTGGGAATACGGCAAAGATAGAGTGTATGAGAATGGCCTCAGGACAATTGCAAACCTCACAAGTGAGACCATTCGTGTCATTCAGGCCATACCTGCTGAGGAATGCATTCTGGTCATTAACAAATGTGCAGGTTTGACTACAGGGCGATGATGCCCAAACCTGAAGCATGTTGTTCAAAGTGGTGTAAAATCATGACTATCCGTCTGATGGTCATGAAATATTGTATGGTGGTAGGAAAGTGAATAATGTACAAATGTGTAAAATGTCAGGGAGAAGTGTATTAAGATGACAAAGATATGAGGAAAATGCAGGCTTTCCATTTTTTGACCACCCTTACTCTACCATAGTACTATTATACCATAGCTTAGAACCATTTTGCTATAGCACAGTATAATTATACGAAAGTCAGGTACTTTTGTACGATAGCTAAGTACGATTGTACTATTGCTTAGTACTATTACACTATACTAAACCATGGTATGAGTCTATAGCCTAGTTTGATCGTACTGCAGATATAACCAGGTGCCATAAATGGCTCATTGTCATACTACTATATAGACTCTATAAAGAAGGGAATTGCAAACATGTTTTTTTTAGGCCCATGGTCTACAATGTAGAGTAATACATTTTAAATCAAACAAAACAACATCGGAATTTCTGTTAAGTACGTCATATGCAGTTTTAAATATACTAAAAGTGTGTGAATGATTATAATATTATGTCACGCCGAAAGAGTA